AATCAAATCTTTTGTTTAAAGTGTTTCTGAAACCCAAAGCCAAAAATTAGAGGTGTACCGAAATAAAAAATGTCAAAACCGAAACAGAAATTTCCAAAAATGTCACGCCGAAGCCGAAAAAGTTATTTATTCTAACTTTTTACATTTTTTTACAATATTTTTTTTAAAGGAGATCTATGAGGTGAGTGATTTCCACTCACCTCATAGTTCTAGCCGACCTGTGCCAATGAGACTGTCACAGGTCGGCTCAGTAGATCGGGAGGTGAGCGAACACATACCGGTGTTCGCTCACTTCTCGATCCTGTCACGGCTGTCTGCCGTGACAGGGGAGGGGCTGGATTCCCCTCTCCCCGCTCCGATCTGCCAGCGCTGACTGGCGGAACGGACGGGGGAGGGGGCGATTACAGCTGGCTCTGCCTCTGGATAGGCAGAGCCAGCTGTCACTCACGCAGCTGGGCGGATCTCGACATCTATGTCGGGGATCCGCTCTGGCTGCGGCGTCTCAGTATACCGCGAGCTGTAGCTCGTGGTATACTGACCTTAGGGTAAAGGGGGAAAGCTAGTTTGTGTCCTCCCGTTACCCTAAGGAGAACTTTGGGGAAAAACACTGACCCCTTAGTTCTCCTTTAAATAAACTTTTTAATGTTTTTATATTTTATTTGTATTTATTAATTTATTTTTTATTAAATATTTTTATTTTTTACTTTACTTTTAGGGGCTTTGGGGAAATATTAGGGATCTAAACAGACCCCTGATATTTCCCTTGTAAAATAGAAAAAGAGATTGAGGACACAGAGTCCTCAGAGAACACGGAGTCCTCAATCTCTTTTTTTGCAGCCCCTGTTATACAGTAAATTAAGAGCAATCCTCTATACTGAGTGTTCCTGTTCATTCATACCTTGAGAACAGGGTATGTTTAATATAACCACAATCCTGAATGAACAGGAAGTGATGTAGATGACTTCCCATTCATTCATAATTGAGGAGATAGTAACCATACTCTGTCCTCAATTATGTACAAACACTCAGCGATCACTGATCACCGACTGCTTGTAGCCACTCTCCATTCTGACAGCTGTCACAGGAGGCTGAGCAGTGTGGGAGGAGAGACGCCGGCAGCTCACAGCGCTCTCACTGATCACCGACTGCTTGTAGCCACTCTCCATTCTGACAGCTGTCACAGGAGGCTGAGCGGTTGGGGAGGAGAGACGCCGGCAGCTCACAGCGCTCTCACTGATCACCGACTGCTTGTAGCCACTCTCCATTCTGACAGCTGTCACAGGAGGCTGAGCGGTTGGGGAGGAGAGACGCCGGCAGCTCACAGCGCTCTCACTGATCACCGACTGCTTGTAGCCACTCTCCATTCTGACAGCTGTCACAGGAGGCTGAGCGGTTGGGGAGGAGAGACGCCGGCAGCTCACAGCGCTCTCACTGATCACCGACTGCTTGTAGCCACTCTCCATTCTGACAGCTGTCACAGGAGGCTGAGCGGTTGGGGAGGAGAGACGCCGGCAGCTCACAGCGCTCTCACTGATCACCGACTGCTTGTAGCCACTCTCCATTCTGACAGCTGTCACAGGAGGCTGAGCGGTTGGGGAGGAGAGACGCCGGCAGCTCACAGCGCTCTCACTGATCACCGACTGCTTGTAGCCACTCTCCATTCTGACAGCTGTCACAGGAGGCTGAGCGGTTGGGGAGGAGAGACGCCGGCAGCTCACAGCGCTCTCACTGATCACCGACTGCTTGTAGCCACTCTCCATTCTGACAGCTGTCACAGGAGGCTGAGCGGTGTGGTGAGAGACGCCGGACGCTCACAGTGCTCTCCTCCCGCAGCGCTCGGCTGCCAGTGCTCTCCTCCCCGCTGAGACACAGAGCAGCGCCCAGCATGGAGGTGAAAAAGATCGGATGCACCGCTGTATAGGCCAGAAAATGGAACTTTCGGCATTTTGCCAAAACTGCCATTTTTGGCCATTATGTTTCAGCGGCCGATATATCGGTGCATCCCTACCAAAAATGCAAAAATGAACTATACCGCAGATTTCCAATTCTTAGATGTGTCGGCTGCATTCGTTTTTTTTTCAGGCTTTTCGCCTTTATATTGCAAATAAAACATGTCCTGTCCCTGAGTGGCTACACTCATTCCTGCACTGTATCCATAGAGGCAGCTATTGTTGTCACCCAGGCTGAACTAGTCTTCCATTGCTCATCTCCATTACAGAGAAGATGGGGAGATAAGGAGCGGGGATGTTCCTTTAAATGCTCCCCCTCCCCCTGGCCGCCCCCCAATGTGATGCCGCCTGAGCCAACCACCTCAAGCTGCCTCATTATAGCGACGGCCCAGATTAGTAGTTTATAGAAGGAAGATAAAATAGTTTAATACATACCCCCCAACCTTCTGAGATGAGAAAGAGGGATACCCTTCAACACAATATGAAAACGTGAGCAGACAGGATGTGGAGCAGTTGCCCATGACAACCAATCAGATTCTTGTATTTCCAAAGCTTAACTGAGTAAACAAAGTCTAGAAGATGATTGGTCGCCATGGGCAACTGCTCCAGATTCTGTTTTCTCCAGTTTTGGCAAATTCCCTCCATTGCCGTTCCAGTATTCACCTTTACCTTTTCCAGCACCTTTGTAGAAACTTCCTGTTCTGTCATCTGAATAATGATGTTCACATCAAACAAATGATAAAATACATACAAATGATAAAATGATTAGCAGACTGTCTATGCCAAAACAATAAATACAAATATAACGCGCAATCAATCAAAGCAAAATAGAAAACGCAGAAGTAATGAGTAATAACATATGAAGGAAATAAATAAGACCGTGCCAAATAAAAGTCTTCCCTGAAGGAGTCTTATCTGTATTTGCTGCGCTCCTATTTATTTCCTTCTCCTGCTTGCTGTGCATTTTATATTTTGTGTTTGATTGACTGTGTACTAGATTTGTATTTCTTTGTTAGCAATGAAAGTGTGCTGATAATTTGTATATACTGTATATATGTATTTTATTTTTAATTTTTTTGCCAATGAGATATAATTATAGCTAGATACAGATATTTAGCAGCCTGGTAAGATTTAACATATTATGATATTAATGGATTGGTGGTTGCTTTTGGTAACTATTTGTTGTGTTTTTATGCATTGTTATTATATATTTTCTACGTAAAGCTGAAGTCCAGGATAAGCAAATATTGTCCTCATTCAAGAGTCATGTGACTTGTTCCTTCAATCTTGGTGAGCTTTGTGTATTTCTTCCAGATCTGTGCAGTAGTCCAATGTGAGACTTGGAGCTTTCTGTAATAAAGACCGGTCACTGCTGCTCTCTCTCCTTGTGCAGGGTGACTGGTCTTGTCTCCGCCCCCTCCTGTAATAAAGACCGGTCACTGCTGCTCTCTCTCCTTGTGCAGGGTGACTGGTCTTGTCTCCGCCCCCTCCTGTAATAAAGACCGGTCACTGCTGCTCTCTCTCCTTGTGCAGGGTGACTGGTCTTGTCTCCGCCCCCTCCTGTAATAAAGACCGGTCACTGCTGCTCTCTCTCCTTGTGCAGGGTGACTGGTCTTGTCTCCGCCCCCTCCTGTAATAAAGACCGGTCACTGCTGCTCTCTCTCCTTGTGCAGGGTGACTGGTCTTGTCTCCGCCCCCTCCTGTAATAAAGACCGGTCACTGCTGCTCTCTCTCCTTGTGCAGGGTGACTGGTCTTGTCTCCGCCCCCTCCTGTAATAAAGACCGGTCACTGCTGCTCTCTCTCCTTGTGCAGGGTGACTGGTCTTGTCTCCGCCCCCTCCTGTAATAAAGACCGGTCACTGCTGTTCTCTCTCCTTGTACTGGGTGACTGGTCTTGTCTCCGCCCCTGCCTGTGTTTCTTGTAGTAGGTGGGGTCTGCTGGGCACCTCCCACAGCTCTGTACAGCACAGAGATGATGCCACTGCTACATTTATAGGGTAATAACTGGGTGTTCCAGGTACTTGATGCACAAAAAGTGTATATATATCCTTTGTGGGTATTGCGCAATATATATAAATGAAATTCCATGTGACTGGAGTTTTGGTTTAATCCCTGCTGGTGATGATGTCATTCATGCTGGGGGTGTGGTTTAACATGTGAGTGCGCTATTGGTACTGTGTTATTGTACCTTAGCTTGATACAGGTGGGCTGTGACCCACCAAAAATGTAATTGAGAAGTCATTGAATAAAGCCTTTTTGATGTGTACTTGCTTCTTTAAACTCCAGTGAGTAACCTGCCCATATAAGTATGTATTGGACATCTGCCTAGCGTGCTCTTCTTATTATTATGGGTTTTTTAAATTATTATTATTTATTTATTTATACATACACTGGTATACCACTTAGCCCCTATTGACGCCTGAACCTTTTTGTTGCGTGTTTACTGAAATGTGACAACGCTCAACATGAAGAATTCCATTATTTTCTATGGTGCCCTGTTCACTCGTGTGGCTTAAAGTTTGAAAACGTACATAAGCTTCTTTTTTGGGTAGAGGTGTATGTTTTGTCCCCATAGACTTCAATGGGAGCTCCTGAAAACCCCGAAAGAGAGCACCACCACTTGTTTATTGTCCTATTTAATGCCTAATAACTGTCTCCTTCTCCTAGTAACTAGCTTTCCATTGATTAAATCAAAAACACTCAAGATCTACAAACATTTGGTAAAAAAGCGCTCCAAAATCTCCTGAGAATATTCATGCTCAGGTGTGAATGGGGGCTGAGAATGAAACCTGTTGTCCGGTAAAGTACGGTATACCTGTTCTTAGTGTTGTAGCTGGAAGGGAAATAATAACATTTATATGGGTTCTTTCAATGATTGACGAGGGCATGAGTCAATAGATTGAGGCCGTGGCGGGTTTTAGTTTCATTTTCAGGCCTTTATCAATTCCTGGATGTGTCATGACAAGTCTTTAATAGCTCTACCTGTAATCACCGCTCCAGCACCCTGCAGCAGTAAATTCCATCTATACGACTTTTCATATACAAACTGGAGGAAGTGCGACTGTTTACATGACATACCTGAGGCGGGAGGGGTCCCTCCTCTGGGGGAGAGATAAGATTAAATATCTCTCTGAGATAGAAACTCACTCAGGATACACACAGCATGGAATCAGCACCCAGGAAAGGTTTCTATATTCAGGAGATCAATAGAACCAAATGGGAGGTCCCCGTGCGCTACAAAGAACTGAGAGCCATCGGTTCCGGAGCTTATGGGACCGTCTGGTAAGTCTTGAGAACCGCTGACGTGGGTCGGTTCATGAATGTTTCAGATTACCAATGAAATCTGTACTGAGAGAAATATGGAGGCCGTCATTGCTGACCTGCTTCAGGACTGGGGCCCAGTTAGGATATGGTGCCACTCTTGACAGATGGGTCATTGTCCATCTCCGTTAGGGACGAGTGGAGTCATTTTGGCTAAATTGTATATGCCACCAAATTGCACTGAAGTGGAAATTCCCAATTTTGCATTGAGCTCCTTTTGTAGACTGTGCTTAAAAAATAGTTGTTTTTTAAAATTTATTAAGAGGCTTTTGGGATATATTTAGGTCAGGGCTGGACAAATCCAAAGAACCAGGTCACCAATGCTCCTGCCTCCTATTCTTTCTATTTATTAAGAGGGCTTTGGGGTATATTTAGGGCAGGGCTGGACAAATCTCAGGAGCCAGGTTGCCAATGCTCCTGCATCCTATTATTTTTATTTATTAAGAGGGTTTCGGGGTATATTTATTTAGCTCAGGGCTCGACAAATCTCAGGAGCCAGGTCACCGATGCTCCTGCCTTCTATTTGTTTTGATTTATTAAGAGGGTTTGGGGTGTATTTAGGGCAGGACTGGTCAAATCCCAGGAGCCAGGTTGCCAATGTTCCTGCCTCTTATTTGTTTTTAGTTATTAAGTGGGTTCTGGGGTATATTTAGGGCAGGATTAGACAAATCCCAGGAGCTATGTCGTCAATGCTCCTGCTTCCTATTTTTTTTTATTTATTAAGAAGGTTTTGGGGTATATTTAGAGCAGGGCTGGACAAATCCCAAAAGCCAGGTCGCCAATGCTACTGCCTCCTATTATTTTTATTTATTAAGAGGGTTTGGGGGTATATTTAGGTCAGGGCTCGACAAATCTCAGGAGCCAGGTAGCCAATTCTCCTGAAAAAAAGACAGTTGGCGCCAAACTTTTGAGGTTTTCTCAATTGAGCTGGCTCCTAAAAAATCCTGCTGGATCCTGGATCGGACAGCCTGGTTTTTGAATTCCATATTAATATCAATAATTTAGGGTAGTTTGGTTTATTTTATTCGCTGTTCTTTGTATTTGTGTAATGAGGTTAATAAAGGACTTTGTTTTGGTACAAGAACAGTTCCGGGATAGTTGAACAGAGCTTCCGTAACCTTCAGGAGCCATTTGATGCCCATTGCCCCCTTAAAAAGCACCTTAATTTCCAAAGGCCCGTTGACCCATTGGTCAAAATACCAAAATTTCACCCAAAATATCCCAATTTTTGCTGAAAGTTTAGGGGGATGAAAACTCGGACTTTTGCTCATCGCTAGTTTTAGACTGACGGTGGTGGATTCAGCCCAGGAAAGCAGAGAGCAGTCTAGTCTACTGAAGATTTATGGGTAGCTATGCTGGAAAGCGTCTATTATCAGCAAACGCAGGGAGAGGAGAGTAATTCCCTGTTAATGGCCCTGTTATCGTTCAGTCAGAATGATGCAGATTCGTTTTCATGAATTCGCATTTGCATCCCCATAGCTCCTGCTGGCAAATAGCCTCCAAGGGGGTTCAGACATTCAAACTGTAAAGCTGAAGGCCGAATCGGGTTTTTAAAAAAAATAACACAGAAAAAAGTGACTTACGCTTAAAATGTCATTTTAGCTGCTGACAGTTTTAAATAACTCGATAAGTGTGATGAGCCAGCAGCTCCCGCTAACCTATTGTTGAGTTCCTCTGTTGGGTTCTCATTGCTAATTATTTCCTAGCTAAGTCATGTGATCACCTTCTCACGCTGACGATGATCAGTGGCTTTGTTAATAAACAAAGCCATGCTACTGAAGCTCACCACACACGTTACAATCTAGTACAATATTTAGATTATGTTGTAGTCCAAGTGTCTGCAGGGGCGTCCCGAGGCCGGGTGTCACCCGGTCTGCAGACCGGGTATCACCCCGCCGTGTCGTCATCATGCATGCGCGTGACATGATCTTGGGGGCGGGATGAGGTATGCGGCTGGGTCCCTTCCTCTCTCCTGACACTGCCAGGCTCTCCGTCCATGACAGAGTGCCCGACTTTTTAGAGGGGGTGACACCAAAATGACTGTGAGTCATTTTGGTATCACCCCTGCAGTGGTGTCACTCGGGTGCGGGCCGCACCCCCCTTGTGACGCCACTGAGTGTCTGCTTAATTGGACACAAGCTGAATTGATAATTTAGGTAGCTCCTCATATTACATAGTTTTAGTACATCTAAAGGAGATTGTACAAAGATTGTAACCTTTATGCTGAGTTTAAAGTGCAACTGAAGCCAAAACTTTTTTTAGTCTTGAACACCGGTCAGGTTTTTATTGCTGTCTGTGTTTCCGTTAAGGAGAATCACCCTCATTATTTGTCCTGGAGACCGTTATCACTGAAAGTGAAAGAAAATCCCACATTTTGTGTTGTCACCAGAAGAGGAAAGATGGGAAATCTTCCAATGGGGACACTTTTTCTGGTGACCCTGATGACCACTAGGAACCTTTCCTCTCACTTCCTGTTGTGGACATACTAACTTCCATCAAAGCATTTTGCTATTTGCATAACTCCTTTCAAGAGCCAGCCAAACGCTTGCTGAGGGTTCTTGAGGAAAGGCAAAATACACTGCCTGGCCCCCCAAAAAAGTCACTCTAGTATTTCATTGGACCGCCTTTAGCTTTGATTACAGCACGCATTTGCCGTGGCATCCTTACCATAAGCTTATGCAAAGACACAACATTTTTTTCTGTCCAGAGTTGCATTAATATGTCACCAATATCTTGTAGTGATGATGGGAAAGCTGAACCACTGAGTAAAGTCTTCTCCACCACATCCCAAAGATTCTCAATGGGGTTCAGGTCTGGACTCTGTGGTGGCCAATCCATGTGTGACAATGATGTCTCATGCTCCCTGAACCACTCATTCACAATGTGAGCCCGATGAATCCTGGTATTGTCATCTTGGAGTGTGCCTGTGCCTCAGGGAAGAAAAAATCCACTCATGGAGATTTATGGTCATTCAGTATATTAAAGGAGAACTATGAGGTGAGTGCTTTTCACTCACCTCATAGTTCTAGCCGAACTGTGACAATGAGACTGTCACAGGTCGGCTTAGTAGATCGGGAGGTGAGCGAACACATACCGACGTTTGCTCACCTCTCGATCCTGTCACGGCTCTCTGCCGTGACAGGGGAGGGGCCGGATTCCCCTCTCCCCGCTCCGATCTGCCAGCGCTGACTGGCGGAACGGACGAGGGAGGGGGCGGGTACAGCTGGCTCTGCCTCTAGATAGGCAGAGCCAGCTGTCAGTCACGCAGCTGGGCGGAACCCGGCACAATTGTCGGGATCCGCTTCAGCTGCGGCGTCTCAGTATACCGTGATCAGCAGCTAGGGTGACGGGAGGACGCTAGTTTGTGTCCTCCCATTACCCTAAGGAGAACTATGGGGAAAAGCCTTACCCCATAGTACTCCTTTAAGGAAGACAGCTGACCTAATTTTTTGGGGACATAACGTTGTTGAACCTAGACCTATTGGAAGACTAATGGAAGGCTCTGACCTATTTGCTTAGCTAAATCCGGATGATAACTTTTTTTTTGGCCAGGCAATGTATAAGCAGATTAAGCTTCAGCCTTTATTACACTTTCCCCATGGTAAATTTTGATAAAAATGTCCCGATTGGTTATCAAAGTATCGGCAAACTGAAAACTTTTTTACTCATCACAGGTAGAAAGGAGGACATAATTAAATATGAAAAATAACTTAGAGGTGTTATAATAATCCTCCCCTATAGGAAGCAGTCTTTCCGGGCCTCAAGAGAACGGAAAAGGCCGTGAATATTCCCATCACCAAATTACCGGGAGCAAGCAGCTGGCAAATCCGGTACTTACACAGATAAATACATTGGGAGTAATTATAAGTGAAGCTAACGACCTGCGCGGTGATGACTGCTCAGTGCAGCATGAAAATAACATTATGTAGATAGGCTTTCCATGCTTGTGCGAGGCCTGGCCTCTTCCATACATCGGCTGCTCGGTTATATGGAAGATGATTTGTCTGGCTCCGCCGTACAGCGCGGCCCATTAAACAAAGCCTGAATGGTAATTCTGCAGAGACTGCTGGTAATTAGGTCGCAATTAAACAGTCATTACGCTGAAAAACTGCTGACGTTTACCGTAAATCATTGGAGGACGCACATCCCGGCACAGCCGACTTTAATACAGGAATTTCCTTTCAGTCAGCAGTAAGTAAACTTATATGATGCCAGGTAACCACTCTGTATTTTGTATGTTAACGCTGAACTCCAGGCAGATAAAAGACAATAGTTAATAGGGGTCTGTAGTCATTAATACGTCAATAAAGTTTTTTGTTTTTTTTGCAATTTGTGAATTTGACCCAGATATCAACCTCTTGCTGCCCTTGTGAGTACAAGGTGTCATGGACACGCCCCTCCCATGGGATTGACTCTATGGCGCCCTGTATTGATGGTGAAAGACTAAAGATGTCCAAAGAGGCGCATCCAGGGTATGGCATATGTCCTGGGTGCCACTTAAAGGGGGCGGTGCCGCTCGGTGGGTCAACGAAAATTCGCAAACCCACAGAGACAGCTGACTTTTTGTGTCTCCCCACCCCTGTCCAATACATATCTCCTCACCCCGCTATTAGCAACCAGGGAGTTTCTGGCCGGCATCCCACCCAGCTTCTGGCAACCAATTAAGGCACGCCAGTGCTGTTATCTGCATCATCGAGGACCGCATACTTCAGTGAGAAGACCAAAGAAGAAGAGCACCCAGCGTGCCCTGTGACCAGGTGAGTATACAAAAAAGAAGCATAAAATATACATAGGAGGGGCCCTCAAGGGGGGGTTCTCTGATTGGTGGGCCTGGATCCCAGAGGTAGGCATTAAAGGTTAGCTCCAGACAGGCCAGACAATGGTCACCAGTACTAATAGAAAGTGCGCATCCCCCCAAATATTGTTCATACTTCCAACCTTTCCCACTTCTACTAAAATGGGTTATTGTCTAGTTCCTAGTGTTCCCATTACAGGAAGTGAGATTAAATCTCCCAAATAAGAACATCGATGGCAATGAAACCTGACAGAGGCTCTGACCGTTCCTTGCTGTATTTAGAAAAAAAAAACATTTTGACTGGAGCTGAGATTTAGTTTGAAGATTTATTTTTATAAATGGAAATTTATATAAAATTTGTTTTTTTGACAAATTAGAATTAATTAATGGGAGCACCCATGAGAAAAATTCACTCTGCAGACTCCATTCCAGATGGGTCCTGTCTCTACTAGAGGAGAGGGAGGAGATTTTCTCCCTCCTCTGAGTCATTCAGCTGTCTGTACATAATCTGATTTCCTGTTGTTTAGGTTTATTCACAACAAAGTCATTTAGTAGTAAATCAGGCTTCCGAAAAACTGGAGTTGTAGCCTTGGGCTTGGCCCCGTGCTGGATGCAACTAGTAAATACAATAACATTCTGTATCTTCCTACAGCTCAACCAAGGACTCCGTGACGGGGGAACGTGTCGCCATTAAGAAGTTGCTGCGTCCGTTCCAATCTCTGATTCATGCCAAGAGAGCATACCGGGAGCTCCGCCTTCTGAAACATATGAACCATGAGAATGTAAGTCCACCTAGCTAAACCAGACATAAAGTGCAATAGCTTCCTGGATTCCCCATGTGCTTTGCGTCTCTTTCCCTGCTGCTTGATGTGATGCCTTCTCCATTTCACAAGACTACATAACCCATCATGCATTGCTTCAAAGCAAGCAATGATAATGTTACATTGTTCAGACGTTGAGTTGTGGTTCTGAAAGCAGGCTCTGTGGGAGTGGTGACACAAGGGAGTGAAATTGGGTCAGTGCATTGAGGAAGTGCATCCTATGGGCATCTTCAATGAATAAGTTTACAAACTTCTAGATGGATATGGTGTTTAGGGGAAGAACATGTAACACATATAAAGTAGGTGTTATCTCAATGTGGCTGCAAAAGTAGAAAGACACTTTAAATAAGCCATAGGTGGTATGTAGCTGACGGCTGTACTCTCTACTCTCTCTCCTACAGGTGATCTCCCTTCTTAATGTCTTCTGCCCTGATGACTCCCTGGAATGTTTTCAGACATTGTAAGTACATCCTTGAAACGCTTCATCTGGACCCTTTCTCCCAGAGGTGCCACCAGGAGACAGGGATTGCTGTGTGCCTTGGGCTTGCCGAAGCGGGTCCTTGAGGACTAAGGAGCCATTCTGACAGCTCTGCCACTGGCACGGCATGTGGTCTGCGGCTGACTATTTCCTCTGGCCTGAGTTGGCTGCTTCTCTGTGAAGTTTGTTCCAATCTGTTTGTTTTTTCCCCCGAGTACACTACTTTTATGACAGAAGATTCATGCGCTTCTGTTGTAGGGGTTGTGGGCTGAGGAATGGGAATGTTGTGTTGGTGGTAGGGGAAGAAAGGTAAATATATTCTGCCGAGGAGGTTTGCATTAAAGAGGACCTGTTGCTTTGCTCTGCGTGTTCTGAATTAATTCTGCTGTATGTAATATATACTGTATGTGTTCTTCACTCCTAGTTACCTTGTCATGCCATTCATTCCCCTGGACTTGACACGGGTCATGAAGATACAAAAGCTAAATCACAGCATGATCGTATATCTCCTCTACCAGATCCTACGAGGACTACAGGTGAGGAACCGTGTGATTGGAATCACTGCTTCATATTTTTTTTATATAGAGGGAATCTTTACAAAGTGAGGGGAATCCACCTCTTAGACCAGGGGTGGGCAACACCGGCCCTCCAGCTGTTGTGGAACTACAAGTCCCATGAAGCTATGGATATTGCCTGCATAATGTTAAAATTGCCACTTGTAGTGTCTATGTAGTGTCTCTTGCAGGGCTGAGCAACCCCAGCCCTCCAGCTGTTGTGGAACTACAAGTCCCATGAGGAATTGCAAGACTGACAGTTACAGGCATGACCCCCAAAGGCAGAAACATGTTGGGATTTGTAGTTAAAGCACAGCTGGAGGGCCGGAGTTGCCCACCCCTGTCTTAGAAATTTTTCACCAGAACAAGTGTCCCCATTGGAGGATTACTCCTTTAGTTCTGTTCCTCTGTAGAACATTTGGACAGGCAGACAGTTCATATCCTATTCAGGACAATATCTGCATGGACTTTGCATGTTCTCCTTCTGTGCAGTGGAATTCATTATAACATCATTACATTTATTTTTAAATACAAGTAGCTGAATTTGGCCCGCTATCAGTCTCTTGCAGTTCCTGTACAACAGAGCTCAGGCTGGGCGAGGGAGAAGCAGCACAAGGTGCCAGTCAGTTGTACTGCAATGCAACGAGCATGCTAATAGGAGGAGAGGGTAGAGTGACATAGAGGCAAGCTCATCACCCTGTCACTTCTCCTTTTGCTGTCCATTCACAGGCCTAGGGAGGGACAAGACCTGTAAGTGTTATGTAACTGTAGCAGAGAAAAATCAGGTCTCCTGCCCTGCCAGACAGGGTTGTGATGTGTGGTAGAGCTGTGCAAATCTCAGGACTGGGTGGACAGAAATGCAAATCCTTTGAGTCCGTGTTGCAAGGCCAGAGACAATCGGAGAGGGTTCCATAGAAGTCTATGGGGGCTGTAATGCACAGGCACGGGCAGGACAATGAAAACTTAAGCAAACAGCAGAACCACGTCCATCGGATCGAGGTAAGTATGCATCTGTGGAAGGGGAGGGGGTTAGTTAAGGTCAAGGGAAAGGGGCAAGAAGGATACATTTGCTTTGTTTTAAAGTGGACTTTTCCTTTAAAAAATTCCCACAGCAATAAGGAAGAATTTTGAATGAAACAGATGTTGAACACAGTACATTGGGTTCAGGCTTTCGTATGGGAAAATAACCTTGATATTGTCAGGGGACAATGGAGGACAAGCATCATGTTATGAAAACATCCCAGTACTGGGTAGGGGAATAAAACAGACCTTCCCATGTGACTTGCTGCCAGTCTGTCCACTCAGGTTATTAATGTCACACATTGCTGGCCTGTCGGCCCATCTTATCAGCTGCTCCAGACAAGAAAATACTTGGCAAACATTCCACCCCCACTTGGTCAGACACTACACAGGCCTGGATCATTTCTGAGTCTGCGAAAGTTCTGAGCAGCTGGAGCAAAAACAAACCCTCGTTTATGATCCAGAGTTAATAAAAGTTGAGTAAGGATTGATGATAAAATGGGATGTGGTGTAAGTCTATGTGAGTCAGGCGTTTGCCAGGCACGGTGTACATTCACCTTTGCAAACAACAAATTCAAAATGCAAAAGTAAAAAACAAATATTAAATCAGAGCGGATGCTTAAAGTCTAAATCCAGGCAAAACTAGTTTTGGAAAACATGGGGGACGGTTAATACATCAGTCTGGCTTTTATTGCCATAGTTTATTGTATAGGCATAAAGCCTGCGCCGCTATTCTAAACTAAGAAAATGGAGAAGATCATGCCCCTGTTTAATTATCAGCAATCTGCTTCATTTTCTCCTCCCGCTCAGCTGAGAGGGAGGAGAAAGGCAGTTACCCGGCATTTGCACGAGCTGATCTTGCCCCTGTTTAATTATCAGCAATCTGGGTCGCTATGGCGGTTGTTACGCCACTGGCCGTGTCTGTGCCAAACATGGCATAGAAAGCCGAAGAGCTGGAGCTGCTTGCTCTGGCTCCCTCTGCCTGCCCCTGCTTAGCTGAGAGCAAAAGAGAGGAGGAAGGATGTTAACCCTACATTTGGTGGGGTTAACAGCCAGGCATACAGGTGGGAAAAGGAGCTTTTCCTGCCTATCTGCAGACTCTGCCTATGTAGTGTGTTCACTGCACGGGTAGAGAGAGGCATGTGAGCTGTCTATCCGCTATAAGCTCATCAATGCTACTTTTTACTCTCCAGTCATAGACTGGGGGAGAGACAAGACCTGTATGTTTTACTGAACTGCAGTAGAGAAAAATGAGGTCTCCAGCTCTGCCAGACGGAGCTGTGCGGCAGAGTTAAATCTCAGGACGTCATGGACAGAAATGCAAATCCTTTTGCAGGTAAATCAGGCCACTTATATGTAGTTCCTCTGTGTAGTTAGCTGTTTGCCTGGAGTTCAGCTTTAAGGCTGTCTGTTAGCAGAAGCAAGTCTAAGGGGTCCATATATAAACATTTTGCCATTTGCCCTGCGAATCTCTGTGGATGGTTTTTTTATTTCGAAATTATATACATAAAAACGTTCTTAGTGCATTTCTTTACTGAGTCAAATGTAATTTTGAATGCTATAATGTAATACCTCATTATGGCCAATAGATGGAGCTGAGGAGCATAGGATTTGAATGCTTATTTTATGTGCTTCTAGGCACCATCTAGTGCCCATGATGTGGTATTACATTATAACGTTAGAAATTATTGTATATTTGACTTGTAAAGAAAATGTACCAAGAATGTTTGTTTTTGCCTTTATTCGCACAGAAGGAACATTCACACAGATTCTCAATGCGAATGGCTCTGAATCTTTTATATAAATACATCCTTTTTCAGTAACTGAGTTCTAAATGGCAGCTGATGAGAGGCCAAATGACCATTTATATTGTTACTTTCTATACAATTTCTATCTGTTTCCGAGTAGCTGGCATCAGAGGACTGCGGTGGCTCGACTGCAGTGGCATACGTTGCATACAAACCTGAAGGTTTATTTATTAAAAACAAGGGATAATAAATTGTGGCCTATGGCTCAGCTTTGTCACTAGTATGAAGAAATATGTTTATTCCTCTCCTTTATGAGATGACCGTTTTAAACAAGCAAGTCATTCTTCCGTACAAGAGTTCTCCGGAGTAAACTTTTCCATCTCACGGAGCTCAGTCCTATGCGGAGAGGAAGAATTATGACCGAGCTCCATCGATTTGTTCCCGTACAGTAAATTTATTAACACCCCTGCACTGCGAGGCTGCTGAAAATCAATCAGTAATAATATTAAACGAAGCCGAATCTCAAAGGATTATTTTGGAGTATTTCCTATGAGAAATGATTAATAGGCCTGTGTTCGCACAGGAAGTTTAACGTCTGGCCCTGCAATTGCTTTTATCAAGATCAGAGTGTCATAACAATGATAATATCTCAAAAATATAAATTGCTTTTAGCAGACCTTTACTCTGGAAATAAAGTTCCTCTCATTTGCTCCCCACCTCTTTCCTCTTACACAATTGCTAAATTTTTAATGTAAAAATACCAATTTTTAATTGTTCATTTTGCCATTTTCTCTGCCAGGACCAGCAAGAGACCCAGGCATGTCTGGTGATGCAGGAGATCCTCCGTGCATGCGCAGATTGGCTCATTTCTCTGGCAGACACCCATGGCAATCATGTGAATTCCACACATGAACAGACACTCCCCAGGTCACTGCCAGGTTACACAGACCGGCAGAAAACTGTGGTGGCCTGCGCATGCCCCCAGGGCCGGATTTAGTCTTCCTGCTGCCCCAAGGCCAGGTTCTTCAATCCCCCCCCCTTCCCCATGGAGAATGGCAGACCTGCAGGCTGCATACAAGTGATCTCGGTGACATCGCTGAGATCACTTGTAAAAAACAAGGGGCGGCTTCCGCGCTGTACATTTAGCTCTGCCCCTCTACTCCCTGCTGCCCCAAACTGGGTCAGGCCTTGTGGGAAATCCGGCCTTGCATGCCCCCTTTCGATTATTGATTTACAGCCAATAATAGATGTAGAGCCGCATGGAACATTTCTTAAACTGTCCAAAAAACAGATCGAAACTAAATACTAGCTTATTTACAAAGGGAAAGAGCAATGTGCAAACTGAAATAAACCCATTGCAACCAATGAGAATTGATCTACAGTAAAGCATAGTACCAAAGCAAACACTTGCTGGCGCCTGACCTACTGTATATGAGTTTGGAGGGCAACCCATTCCTAAACCATCAATATGAAGTTGGCCTACCTTTTGCGACTATACCAGCTTCCACTCTTCTAGAAAGGCTTTGAACATGATTTTGGAGTGTGTCTATGGGAATTTTTGAATATTCAGCCAAAAGACAGTTTGTGAGGTCAGGTACTGAGAATACCTGGTTCCCTATCATCCTTCTAATTCATCCTAAAGTCATTCAGTAGGGTTGATGTCAGGTACTGATGTTGGATGAGAATACCTGGCTCATAATCTTCCTTCTAATTCATCCCAAAGGTGTTCAATAGGGTTGTGATCAGGAAGTGATGTTGGATAAGAAGACCTGACTCATGGTCAGCATTCCAATTCATCTCAAAGGTGTTCAGTAGGGTTGAGGTCAGGTGCTGATGTTGGATGAGAAGACCTGGTTCACAATCATCCTAATTCATCCCAAAGGTGTTCAAAAGGGTTGAAGTCAGGTACTGATATGGATAAGAAGACCTGGCTCACAATCATCCTCCTAATTCATCCCAAAGGTGTTCAAAAGGGTTGAGGTCAGGTACAGATGTTGGATGAGAAGACCTGGATCACAATCATCCTTCTAATTCATCCCAAAGGCGTTCAGTAGGGTTGAGGTTAGTTACTGATATTGGATTTAAAGTCCTGGCTCACAGACGGCATTCCAATTCATTCAGAGGTGTTCAGTATGGTTGAGGCCATGGCTCTGTGGAGGCCACTTGAGTTCCTCCACACCTAACTCATTAAACCACAAGCTGCTTTGTGCACAGAAAAAGGCCTTCACCAAACTGTTACCAGAAGATTAGAAGTGCACAATTTTCTAAATGACTTTGTATGGTGTAGCAGTAATATAATGTAAGTGTGATGGTACCCACAAACTTTTGGCCAAATAGTCTTCATGCCGTCATACCAAAATGTAATGGATTTGTAAGTGTTACCAGACTTTACACATCATGGTTGCTCTTTAATTGCCTTACTAAATGAGAATGCACCATTATTCATATAGCTGTCCTTAGAACGGAGAAATTTGGATGTAAAAGGAAGTGTTGACCCTTCTGTGAAATCCTTGTTTCGGCATGCCGCAGTGGGGAGCCTGCCTGTTTTATCCAGCAAGGAAATAAATGCCTTCATTATAAGGACTAACACCTCTCTTGTCAGTAGGAAGCAAATTCCTTGGAGATATTTATTGCTCGGAGGGAGTAAGAGGCAGAAATAATATCAATCTTGCTCGTATATGTTTACAGTGGCCTCCTACTCGATAAATGGGCCGTATCAGAGAGGAATGCTGGGTTCACTGTACATTCCACCCCAGTCTAGCTGTGCTTATCTGATCCTTGAATACCAGAGACATTCATCATGACTGTCAGCGGGGCCTTGCAAAGTGCTCCTGTTAATGTAACCTGCCAGATCCTCTGTTATATATTGTATGCTTCCTATATTTATATAGCCCTGGCAGAGTTGTATGGGGTATGTAGAACTATTGACAGCCCCTGGAGGAGCTTACAATCTAATATCCCTACCACTTACATGCAGTCACGCACTAAGGCATGGTTTGGCTAACCCTAGAAAAAGACCCACTACAGAGCATCTCCCCCTGTGTTATGAACAGAAGGAGAGGTATTCTATAGTCCATATGCATTTCGACCAAAGAGGGCACCAAGCCGTGGTTCTTATGAGTCCCAAATGATGTTCTATTAATTCCACAACATGTAAAACAAAAGGCAAAACAAAAGGCAGCCAAAGCTTAGCAATCCCCTTTAAGAGGGATTGCTGATCTGTGTCATCATTTTGGACTCTAAGAACTATTGTTTGGTCCCCTCTTTGGTTGTAATGCATATGGGCTTCTCAATTCAGGTGACCTCTGTGCTCTGGGAGGGGCCCCTGTTTTGTGGAGAGCATCTGAATACAATCGAATTGGCTTTATAAGGACTCCTCTCATTATCTACTGGTGATCCGTCTCCAGGGCCTCACTTCCATCTCTCCTTAGTGTCCTGTAGTCCAGTAAAGTAGAACTGGGCAGGGCCGACAACTCTTGGGTTCTCAGTGCAGCAGAGGAAGTGTCTTGTCAGAGCAAAGAATACGTTCGGAGCTGAGTGCATTTCTGGAAGTATCAACAGGTGTTTTTCTGTACGTGTAGCATTTTTAGGGTCAGTGGGGTTTTTCTTGGCTTCACACAGGTCTTGCATTCCCATTCAGGCCTATGGGGATGCAAACCCGGTCAAATGTATTTCAGAAGGAGGTCAACAGCAGGTCATATGCAACTGTCAGTGAGTTCTGAATGATCTCAGAAACAACGGATGTCTAACTGATGCCATCAACACAAGACCTTAAAGACACATGACATGGGGAAAGTGCATGTATTGGAGAGACGTATTGAATGTGTTTTTTATTTTGCTCAGACATACACTTTAATATCCTCATATTATGCTTGGAATGGGTTGACCCCAAATGAAAAGTGCTGGTACACACAATTTATGGATGACGCGTTAATTAATATATATATTTTTTCCCCAGTATATTCATTCTACGGGTGTCGTGCACAGGGTAAGTTTGCTACAAATTCCTTTACAATCTAACTTTCCCACAAAATAACTTCTTAGCTTTGTCTTGACAATGTGTATTCAAAATGGTGGACTGGACAGCTCTTGACTGACTGTTGCCCAAAGCAGCCAGACAAGTGCCAACAAAACAAGAAATCTGGTTGCAATGTGCAAATGTCCCATATTCATTCCTGTGGCCTTTGCTCTAGTTTTCATAGGTCACCTTTAACGCTGGTCATGCTGGTAGAATTGCGGTAGAGTCCTGTTAAGCGGCCAAAATTCGATCCATGGGTGGCCTCGCCTGGCACCACCCAGCTCTACGAACTTTGATTAAAAAATTGATGGAGCTGGGCAGAAAATTGTCAGCCAATCGATGACCGCAGCCAAACAGATGCAGACACTGTTTGAGTATTCTGACTTCTGCGAGCACCGTCTGTTAGTATACAATAGCTGATCAAGGGAGATTCCTTAATCCATGCTGTTTAGCACAGATGGTGGAATCCAGCACACAAGACACAAATTATATATGTATGGCCAGCTTGATGTGCTACCAATGCATCACCTTGCATGAGTTTATTGCAACTACAGAATAAAAGTATTTAAAAGTAAGATAAAGTAATATTAAACCCTCAATTGTTTTATTCAAACAAAGATTTATTGCCCAGCAAAGTATTTTTTTACATTCTTGCCCAAGTACTTACAGCCATCATGTTTCCAGACTGCTGGCTTAAACTCTATCAGCTTGACTTCCCTGAACTTCCTGTCTGGTACAAGATTATAAGGGACAGAGCAGTCTGCAGCAGCTGTCCATCTACCAGCTTGGAAAAGGGAGGAGGGAGTAATGGATAGCAGAGGATTGGCGGTGTGTTTGCGGAGACACATACAGCTTAGTAGCACACACAAGAGTGGCTCCATAGGGCCCTGCAAGGGAAAGAAGCCACCCTAAAACAGGATAGCAGGACCAGTGCTCAGGGGACCACCTGATTCTGCAATAAAATAAATCTTTTAGACATCAAGGAGCAGCATCCATTGTAAGTGATTTCATCAGCATTTGAAATAGCTTAAAATCCTTTAGACTTATATATCACTTTAACTATTCCTAGAGGGATCTAAAATGCAGCTCTTCAGTTCAAGACGTTTGTTTATATTAGACATATCACAACACAGATTAGGAAACTTTGACATATGTACATTTTAAAGCATAATTACTGTATACCTTCCATCAGATAGTGTCAAGGAGCTATATATAACAATAAATGTAGCTGATGAATATCAATTAAAGCGGAACCCCAGGATTTACGTTCCCCTCAACATGCCACCCTTCTCCCCCCACCCCCGGGCTCACAGGAAATGGCAGAATGACATGACTTATTCTGCCCAAAGAATACTAAATCTATGGCATAAAATATTGATGAAAAATATATTTTTGACTCTTGCAAATAATCACATGTTATACTGCTTGTATAGTCAGTGATCTTCTGCCCTCATTAAAAATATTCAATTTTATGTGTGTTTCCTGTATTGTAGGACTTGAAACCGAGCAATCTCGGGGTGAACGAAAACTATGAAATCAAGGTAAACAACCAACCTCCTTTAACGTGCGGCCATTGCAGTCCTGCTCGGTCCTGGGATTGGCATCGTTCTTCTGAGCTTCAAAGATAAATATAATAGTTTTTGGTCTATTTTATATCACACTTTTTTTTTTTTTTTTTAAAGGGCTTACCAGTTTATAAACATTGTTTTATCAAGGGTGACAGCTGACCAAATTATTATCATAGTTTGGAAAATCTGAAGGCTCAGTTGTACCCCCTCTACCATGCTGCCCCAGGCACTTGCCCACAAATATCATTAGGGTAAATACAGCCCTTGTTTCATTCTCCTATTACACTGAATCATGGTAGCACTATCAGTCAGGGCTGCCAGCCTACATGGCAGGGACCCCCCTCCATGTTTACATCCACGTGCATGCCCTACACACACGTGCTCATTCGAATCAAGTGGTGGGGTTGGTTTACATTTTTTTTTTGCAAAAAAAGCACACGTCCGCTTAAAACAAGGTTTTGCCTGTTTATAATATAATTTTATTTCAAAGCACATACGTTGTTTATATAGCCAGAAAAAAACGAATCATTCCTAGAGTAAAAGTTGGTTTACTGTATTTTTCCGTGTATAAGACTATACTTTTTCATAAAAATATTTACCTAAAAATGGAGGGGCCGAGAGGAGAACCGCGGTTGCGAAACTGCCGATACCTCTGCAAACTAGCCTCACGAGTAAAACTTCCGATTGCAGAGACAAGCTAACAGCTTTCCTCCAATCATGAGCCTTATGTACCCGACGTAAGCTGATGCGGCGGAGAGCGTGTAGCCAGTGCCCAGATGTAACAGGGAGCTGTAATGTCGGTGCATTCTGAGCCCACAAAAATGTCAGAAAACAAAAAAAATCCCGGTAAATACCAATACCAGGAAGCAGCTGTCTTACTCTGCAAAATGTAAACTGGATGTAATCAGTTATGCAAAAGAGCATGGAAAATATTGATTTCTGAATTTTGGGTAAGAAAAGTGGGGGGCGTCCTGTACATGGGGGCGTCTTATAGACGGCAAAATACGGTATATCAAAGACACACAATGCACGGGTTTTACACCACTTATTCAGTAAAGCACAGAGCAAAGAAAAAATGGAGCAAGTCATAATGCCCAATCAGAAATCACCTATCACTGATATTTTGGGCAAATGAACTGCACATTATTGCTGCTCTATGCAGTGCATTATAGTTTAAGCCCAGAACAGGCCATTAAATGTCTGCATTCCCCCCAAAAAAATGAGACACTGAGACATTGATTCATTAACCACACTATTCTACCATGTACTTATTTCTTTGCATTGAATTGCACATGTTATGGAAATCCCAGCAGTAGCCTAGGGGCATGCTTGTACAGCAGAATAATGATAATCTAATTATGCCTAATGGAGCTCATTGTATAGCAATGAGATTAATTTCTGTCTTTAGATTTTAGATTTCGGGCTGGCTCGCCAAATGGAGAGTGAAATGACTGGATACGTGGTGACACGCTGGTACAGAGCACCAGAAATTATTTTAAATTGGATGCACTACACCCAAACAGGTGAGAGGAACTTCATTAGGTGTAAAAAATGTCATGCAAATGAAGCTAAAATTGTAACGTGGCAGAATAGAAACTGTGTACAAGTGAGAAAAAAACATTTGCCAGTGTGGGCAAAGTCCAGGGTCACTTTAGAGGGTATTTTCACTTTTGCAGCCACATTGGGATAACACCTACTTTATATTTGTTATATGTTACTATTCACATAGCGAAACTGAAACAAATATGTAGAAATTAACCCTGTCTGTACTGTGCTGGCAGATGTCATTATCAGTTGTAACTACATTTTAGCACTCTCTGTCCTACGAAAGGGTCAAAGATATCAAGGCTTGGGTGATACATTATATGTTAATACATCTTCCTTCATTCTGTGCCTCAATTTGTCCCTATACGAAATTGTTTAGAATAGCTTGCAGTCTGCCCAAAGTCCTGCTTCAAAGAACAGTTATCACAAATAGTTTTAGGTATGCTGTGTGAATGGGAACACATGACCAGAGGTGTCCCGCGGCCGGGTGACACCCGGAGCGGGGATCGGGTGACACCCTGCAGTGACGTCATCGCGCACACGTGTGATGACGTCACACTCTGTACCGCTGTTCCATGGAGATGGACGCCGGCAAAGAGAGGAGGGATGTCACCCGGTGGGATAAGGTATGCCGCCGGGTCCCCTCCTCTCTCTCTCTCTCTCTCTCGAGCAACTGTTGGGCTATTAGTCCTTGAACGAGTGCCTGATTTTTCAGAGGGGGTGGCGGGGTTCTCAAATTTGACTGCAAAAGTGGAAATACACTTTAAAGATGGCAATGGACCATTTACATCAGTCCTTACTATAAAACAAGCTTGAAATCTGCACATCACAAAAATGTCAGAAAACAAAAAAAATCCCGGTAAATACCAATACCAGGAAGCAGCTGTCTTACTCTGCAAAATGTAAACTGGATGTAATCAGTTATGCAAAAGAGCATGGAAAATATTGATTTCTGAATTTTGGGTAAGAAAAGTGGGGGGCGTCCTGTACATGGGGGCGTCTTATAGACGGCAAAATACGGTATATCAAAGACACACAATGCACGGGTTTTACACCACTTATTCAGTAAAGCACAGAGCAAAGAAAAAATGGAGCAAGTCATAATGCCCAATCAGAAATCACCTATCACTGATATTTTGGGCAAATGAACTGCACATTATTGCTGCTCTATGCAGTGCATTATAGTTTAAGCCCAGAACAGGCCATTAAATGTCTGCATTCCCCCCAAAAAAATGAGACACTGAGACATTGATTCATTAACCACACTATTCTACCATGTACTTATTTCTTTGCATTGAATTGCACATGTTATGGAAATCCCAGCAGTAGCCTAGGGGCATGCTTGTACAGCAGAATAATGATAATCTAATTATGCCTAATGGAGCTCATTGTATAGCAATGAGATTAATTTCTGTCTTTAGATTTTAGATTTCGGGCTGGCTCGCCAAATGGAGAGTGAAATGACTGGATACGTGGTGACACGCTGGTACAGAGCACCAGAAATTATTTTAAATTGGATGCACTACACCCAAACAGGTGAGAGGAACTTCATTAGGTGTAAAAAATGTCATGCAAATGAAGCTAAAATTGTAACGTGGCAGAATAGAAACTGTGTACAAGTGAGAAAAAAACATTTGCCAGTGTGGGCAAAGTCCAGGGTCACTTTAGAGGGTATTTTCACTTTTGCAGCCACATTGGGATAACACCTACTTTATATTTGTTATATGTTACTATTCACATAGCGAAACTGAAACAAATATGTAGAAATTAACCCTGTCTGTACTGTGCTGGCAGATGTCATTATCAGTTGTAACTACATTTTAGCACTCTCTGTCCTACGAAAGGGTCAAAGATATCAAGGCTTGGGTGATACATTATATGTTAATACATCTTCCTTCATTCTGTGCCTCAATTTGTCCCTATACGAAATTGTTTAGAATAGCTTGCAGTCTGCCCAAAGTCCTGCTTCAAAGAACAGTTATCACAAATAGTTTTAGGTATGCTGTGTGAATGGGAACACATGACCAGAGGTGTCCCGCGGCCGGGTGACACCCGGAGCGGGGATCGGGTGACACCCTGCAGTGACGTCATCGCGCACACGTGTGATGACGTCACACTCTGTACCGCTGTTCCATGGAGATGGACGCCGGCAAAGAGAGGAGGGATGTCACCCGGTGGGATAAGGTATGCCGCCGGGTCCCCTCCTCTCTCTCTCTCTCTCTCTCGAGCAACTGTTGGGCTATTAGTCCTTGAACGAGTGCCTGATTTTTCAGAGGGGGTGGCGGGGTTCTCAAATTTGACTGCAAAAGTGGAAATACACTTTAAAGATGGCAATGGACCATTTACATCAGTCCTTACTATAAAACAAGCTTGAAATCTGCACACACACACACACACACACACATACTCTAATTCCAACCTGGGTGAAGGCTGATTAACCTCCCAGAGTTTTTATGGGTTTTGGGAGAAAAATGGGGCACTTCGAGGACATCCACACACATATAGGCAGAATATACAAACACCATGCTGTGACCCTTAAGGATGACATCATTTGCAGGAAGATATAAACAATGTTATGTTTATATCTTCCTGCAAATGATCGGTTACTATAGGCAAACAATTCCTGTACAAGGTCCACCTAACCCAACTCTTGATTTCTTTACAGTGGACATTTGGTCTGTTGGATGCATCTTGGCTGAAATGATCACAGGCCGTGTTCTGTTTCCTGGTGGAGACTGTATCCTTTTCAGAGCTTTGTGTAGATATCGGTAATGGCCAGTTCTGGAGACAGCATCGGAAGCTCCTAGTTTTATAACTTGGCTGGTGCACTTTAATCAATACTTTATGGCAAGAACTGAACTTTACAACTATCCAGGGCAAGGTGACAGTGTCTCTGGAAAGGGCAACCTTCTCACTTACCTTACCTGCACTTCCTCACACCTTCTTGCTCTTCTGCAGATGGCACCAAGATCAGCTGTGTCTGCTACCCAGGGGAGTGGTGACATCACTCCCAACGGTCATGTGACAGTACTTGGAATTAACGGTTGGCTGCTAGGCCCTGGCACCATCACAGAGAAGCTGGTCAGATACTCCTCCATACCAAGGTGAGGTATGTCAGGTACCAGGTAAGGTGAAAATATGGGGGCTGGGGATGCCCTTTCCAGAAAAATATGCAGTCACCTTGTCCTGCATGGGTCTCTTTAATCAAACCTGCTGAAAAAAGAATAAAGGAAATACTAAGCTCTCCTGCTACCCACACCACCAAGCAATCCGCCATTGAAGAGAAATCCTCACTTCCAGAAGCGCCGATCTTCTGGACCCCTGACTAGACTCTGTTGTTCATCTCACCGACTCTTACATCTTTACTGGATTCCGAAGTGTAAAATCATGACCCAAAATCATGATAGTTTTCCTTGAATATGCAGGAAAAGAGGATTTTGTGTGTATAGAAACACAGGAACATGTCTAGAGCCAAATCTTAAGAACAATAATCTTGACAACTGCAGACAATGTCCCAGATGTGGCCTAATTCATACTTAACATGCATAACAGATTTTGACGAACTGAACAAAATCATTGAGGTGATAGGAAGTCCTCAACCATCATTAATCATCAAGATGGAAAGCAAACATGTAAGTAGCTATATGTTCTGCAGATCAACGTTGGTTAAGTGTATAGGGTCCTCCTGTGGCCATTATATTGCATCTTAAAATATAAATGTTTGGGCCTGGTGATTGGCTGCTCAGCCCAAGAGCTGCATCCTGGGGGGAGAACTTATGCTCCCCCATACCCAGAAGCACCAGGTATTTGTCAAGTGCTTTGATGGAGTGGTGAAGGTTTGAACCTGTGGGTCGGGATGTTCTTACAAATAAACTTGTCACTTTGCTAAATGGGTCAAATGAAAGATTCTCTTTAGCCTAAAGCAGGTCTGCAACCTCTTATTCTTTACAGCCAAGGAAGGTGCTATCTTAGACTTTATTTGGATTGCAGTTGCCATGGTGCTGCACATGAGATCAGCTAGGACACCAGCCACTTGAGGGCTTCAAAGTTCGGTTGAGAGCTGAAATAAGCACACTGACAACCTCGACAGATGGCACGCCTTGAAAGTTGACTGTTTTGGGAGACAATAAATTGGTGGCTCTAGTTCCCCCTTAAAAGAAAAAGGGCCAATTGCATACTTCCTTCGGAAAATGTTTATTTCTCGACTGTCTCCGGCTTAAACATTTATAAGTTGCTCATCTGTAGACATGTAACACGCAAAGACATTGTTTTGTTTATTTCAGATCCATTCAGATTTTTATTTCTTTCACTTTTTCCGAATTTTGATTCGGTTTGTTATTCGGATTTTATATCCGTCTGACTTTTCTTTAGGAATGGAGTCACATGACCCATGCCTGTAATGCAACCTCCAACAGCCCAAAAACCCCCATCTGTTTGGCCAGAGAACAGTCACATGTCTGAATTAGTTTCATTTTGAATGAAATACGGATAGACCCGAATTTTTCTTGAACGAGCATTCTGATACGTTCGCATTCGGACGAGTTAGAATTCAAAAATTCAGATGCATCCAAATGCTCCAATTTAATTAAATAAGTACAAACATACATTCGGAACGAAACAAAATTTACACGTCTACTCATCTGGAACAAGTTAGGGTAAAGGCACTTTACTTGTCCTTATCTGCATACTTGTTCCAGGTCAACAACTCCAAGAATCGAAGTGCAGGGGTCAGTATGGCAGCCAGGGAAGTAGCCTTTTCATGAGGAACCATCAGCAATGGCAGCTTCCATTTTTCTCATGCAAGGTTTCTGTTAGCACTGATTTTTTTTTCTTTTTTGACTTTTGTTGGTTAATATATTCGGGTTTTTTTACAAACATTTTTTATTATTTGACTATTTTAGTATCATTTGCAGCTGTTCATTTCTCTTTACAGGCTCAAGACTACTTTAAAATGCTTCCACAGAGGCAAAAGAAGAATTTTAAGGAGGTTTTCCCAACAATGAACGCACTAGGTATGAAAACCACCTAATGAGACAAAGCTGTTAGCCACATATTATATAGCAAGAGTGAGTAGGTCATCTGTGAATTAAAAGCACCCCCTCCTTCCAATTTGATGCTTTCCAAAAACACTTAACTGTAATATTTCGGTATTTATTCCCTTAATAATTCCCTTAATAGGGGGCCTACCCCACGGACCTAATGTAACTCTCTTCAACCCCCCCAGGTGACATGAACCTGTCCTGAATTAACTGTAATAGAGCTTTCTCTGCTCTGCTTCTGGACAACATTTGTGCTTAACATCTGATAATGGGGGAGCTAGAAATCTGCTAATCTGCACCCTAGCAAAGGAGGAAGTATCATCCACTGCAGAATATCTTCTATGTTCTGCATTGTATACTCACACAAGATGCTCGATTCACAAACCTAACACACCATGATAAGAATACTTATCTTCTGTTGCAATATTTAATAGTTTTTTAAACATAAGAATACAGCCAAAAGGAGTCAAATGATGCCAATCAGAATAACAGGAACCAATGGCCATTGCCAAGTATACCAAAGGACAATATATAATGTATATATTATTCTACCACCAAAGGCAGGTCATGCAAGAAAGAGAATGTACAATAAGCTTTTGCCAATTTATAACAATTAAAGTCAACACTGACACTATTAATTGTGTTTGCCTCTGATGTTGAAGGGCTACGTATTGAAGAGACGCAAAGACCAGACTCTTGACTTGGTCAAGATGAATAGAATCATACGGAGAATGAAAGGGTAATAGAATAATGAGAGGAGAGGAAGAAGAGTAAAATAGGGGAGATGGAGCTAGATATAAGAAAAGATGGAAAAGGGGAGGAGAAGAAATGTGTGGGGACTGGCAGGAGTAAGGTAGGACGCCTGGGCCCACTAGTTGTCGCCAGTACATGGAGGGGATCACAGATATGAAAGGTTAATAATAGGGATGCAACGATATGAGTATAGTTGCCGATAACAGAGTATTTGGGCGAGTACTCATACTCGCCCAAATGCTCCGATACCTTCCCTGATACAGGAACTTCCGGTCAGAGGAAGTTGCCGTAAGGGGGACATGGAGCCAGCTTCCTGTGCGATCAGGAAGCTGGGCGGCGAGTAATGACCCGCCTCTCAGCTTCCTGATTGACTGGAACAGCTGGCTTGATGCTGATTAGCTGGGAAGCCAGCTTTCCACCCAATGAGAATGGAGCCGGCTTTCCGAACATTCAGGAAGCCGGGTCATTACTCGCCGCCTGGCTTCCTGATTGGCTGGAAATCTGGCTCGATGCTGATTGGTTGGAAATCCGGTTTCCCAGCCAATCACAACCAAGCCAGCCAAACAACATGGAGCTGGCTTCCCAGGCAATCAGTAAGCCAGGTGGCATGTCATTACCCACCGCCCGGCATCCTGATTGCCCGGGAACTCCATGCCTGCGGAAGCACCGGTATCGGTACTCGGTATCGGCGAGTACCGAAAGCAAAATATTGGTATTCGTACTCGATATAGAAAAAAACGGTATCGGTGCTTCCCTTGTTAACATTCAATGATACTTATTTTAGAAAAAAGTTATTTTTAGCCGAGTTCAATGAGATTTAGGAATCACATAAAGATCTTTATCCTCATCGGATTGTAAATGTCAAATCTCATTGGATTTTATAACTGTCAAAATAACTGAAAATAACTGTCACTTTTTTTTTGCAATGAATTATCCTTTGTGTAAAAAGTTTCATGAGCCAAAGATGAGACTGCGCTGTGAGGCCGTGCATGATATCACACGTCCTTTACACATGAGTCACCTGTAGGCAAATATTGGAGTCGGCAGTTAGGATGTAGAGGGGTCGTTGATGACGGACATCCTTCCTGTCTCACCAGAGATCGATTTGCTGGAGAAAATGCTGGAACTGGACCCGGAAAAGAGATTATCTGCTGCAGAGTGCCTGGCACATCCGTACCTAGCAGAGTACCAGGAATCGGACCCGGACCCTCCCGCAGAGAAATACGACGACTCCTTTGAGAACCTGGACCTCGGAATCGCGGAGTGGAAAAGTAACGCACTTATGTATTAATGATTGTTCTCGAGACAGCCGGGATTACGCAATAAAAGCCAATGGGATAGATAATTAAAGTCCAGGGTCCAATAAACCAGGTTAAAGGGCAAGTTCCATTAGATTAGATGATTCTTTTAATATTTAGAAGCCTGAATTGAAGTCGATGTAAACCCAATCACTGAAATCTCATGGTGGCGCCACAAGGGGGGCCCGCACCCGGGTGACACCATCAGAGGGGTGACACCAAAATGACTGACCATTATTTTGGCGCCACCCCCATTGAAATGTCAGGCAGTCGGTCGTAGAACCCGAGAGTTTCAGGAGAGAGGAAGGGACCCGGTGGCATACCTTATCCCGCCGGGTGAACGTCCCCTCCTCTCTCTGCCGGCGTCCTTCACCAAGATGGCCGCCGGCAGGTATCAATAAGATGACCGCGCATGTGCGATGGCGTCATCGGGCATGCGCGATGTCGCCACAGGGGGGTGTGACCCAGTATCCGCCCTGGGTGACACCCGGCCCTGCATAAGATCTTTATCGTGTAATTTCAAAAGTCATTTTCAATATGTTAAATTCTGATGCCAGTGCCAGTTAAACCTACCATGAACGTCCTCCTTCAGGTACTTCCTGTTATGGGGTGACAACACTGTGACCTTGTCTCCAAATTGTTCTCCTGCATTGGTACAAAGAAAAGGTACAGAAGATAAAGGAACGCCAAAGGAATGGATCGGGTATGGGAAAAATTTTACAATACTCAGTTGTCCCACTGATCCATTCCATTGTCTTCTGTACCTCAAGCTTGCACGCAAGGTCCTACAGTGGTTGGTGCTACCCGTGGCCTAAGGGTCAGCCTCAAAACTATGGGGTCGCTTTATAAGCAATTCACAGAGCTATTCCCCCTGCGAATCACTGTGAACGTTCGTTCTGTGCAAATAGAGGCAAATCCTCAGCTCCATCTAGTGGCCATAATGTGGTGTTTTCTCAATATTACATTCGACTTGGAAAGAAATGTACTAAAAATGTTCGTTTTTGCCTCTATTCCGATAGAACGAACATACAGAGTTTTACTAGATGAATAGCTCTGCAAATTATTTATAAATAAACCCTACTCTGAAATAAATAAAAACTTCCTGTTTGCCAAATTCTTGGGAAAATAGTTATAACTCTTCCTTATATGTATTATTTATATATGTATTAATATTAATTATATAATATATTATAATTATGTACATTAATAATTAATTTTTATTTAATAGCACGCAGTATAAGTACCTAAATTTGGCTTGGTATCAGCCTCTTGCAGTTCCTGTACAGCAGAGCTCAGACTGGGGGAGGGAGAAACAGCACAAGGAGCCAATTAGTTGTGCTGTAGTGCAAGGAGCATGCTGATAACAGGAGAGAGCATAGAGATGGAAGCTTTGTCTGCTTTGTCTCACTTCACCGTCCAGTCAAAGGCGGTTACAGGTTTTAACAGTAACATTGAACCTAAACTGCAGTGGAAAAACATCAGGTGTTCTGCTTTGCCAGACAGGAATGTGCAGTGTGGCAGAGCTGTGTAAATCTCAAAACTGGATGGATAGAACTAGAAATACTTTGGTACAGCTCCCATATATGCATTTCATTTTTTAGCTGTTTGCCTGAAGTTCAGCTTTAGGTTCTGCCAAAAAATGATCATTATTTTTGCGGTATTTCTGTTACAGAAATGACTTTTTACCAATTCCCCAAACCAAACAAAGCATTTTAGTTCAAATACTACAAATATTTCAATCCTGATTGGTTTGCCCGGAGGCGCCCAGAGCAAAGAACACCAGCCAGCGATTCTATTTACTTTTGTGAAGCGCGATTTCAATCTGCATATATTTTTTTTTTACATGGCGGCGGATCTTCCAAGATGTTTGAAAGTTCCATTTCTCATTTGTGTTTACACAGGTCTAAGTCACATGGAAATCATGACATTCGATCCGAAAAACCCGAGCCAGCGCGCTGTTTGACCACACTGGCGCGGTTCCCTCTCGTCTCCTTGGCAACCGCCTCGTGGAACTTTGAAGAAGCTCCAGAGCGTTTCAGCATCAAAGCAAAGACCAGCCCGGTCATAAAAGATGGATTCGAGTTGAACATTGAAGTGCCTCATTTTCGGTTACGGACCCGACTATGTTACATATGAAAAATAGAACTGCGCACATTCCTAACATGAAGGTGTGCACGCCGCGGTCTTTTGCAACCTTCAGCTTTCGTGGACTTGCAAGTCTAATGCAGCAAACTTTTATTTCTGTTTTGGATGGTTGCTGGAAGGCACTTGCTGCCTTCTTATAACTATTATGGACTACATCATCAAGATCTCTGTACTTAGTTGCTTCAGTCAGAATAAAGGGGTCTCACACATACCATTGGAAGGTCTCATTTATAATATAATATGGAAAATGTAACATGGACACTGAAGGTTCTATTTATAAACAACAGTCAT